GGCTGACTATAGGATTTAAACCTCTCAGACTAAATGCACATAAACCTGATGCTATCAGTAACATTAAGCACTGTTCTTAGCACTTTACATTTACATATACAGGTACATATAACTCAAAAACCTTGGAGCCAGATGTGTTTCTAAATTCAGAATTTTAAATTTTACAATGCAATATAGACATACTATCTATTTTGTAACAGCCACAGCAGGATCTGTCATAGCATTCTGTTATTAAACAAATTAACATTTCTGCAACAAAATATATGACCTATTTGTACTACATGTTTAGGACAGTTTTGTTTTTCTTTTTTGTACCACTGAGTCATACACAAATTTAGTTTTTAGAGCCTTCCGGATTAGGCTAAATAATGGTAGAACTATATTAACTCATTCAACTCATAAAAGCCCATGAGATAAATATTATCATCCCAATTTCATAGACAGGAATACTGAGGCACAGGGACATTAAGTACCTGCCCACTGTCACAAAGCTAGTAAGCAGTGTAGCCAGGATTTGATCCCAAGCAGGTGATCTTCAGAGTCCGTGCACTTAACCACTATGTAATACTGCCTTTTAATGCACTTAGACATCCAGCAAATGGTATGTATAAGAGTTTACTATTATTTAGAGCTTTTGTAGTTGCCCTGAAGGCACTGAAGATTATTTTCCTAACTTGTTTTCGATAAACTAAAAATTGCTTGGGGCCAACAGTAGTTTTTGAAACATATTTTGTATAACTGAATCCTATAAACATAAGCAAAAATAGAATCAATGAGATATGTATGAGACGTCTCAATGCAAAATAAGAATTAAAAATTCAAATGTGAAGGCACAGCAATGGTAACATTTAGAAGACTCCAAACAAGCCAAAATTTAGAATATACATAAAATGCTAACATGATTGGAACAAAGGAACTAACCTGAATCACTCCAATCTCATTGAAGAAATCAGTGATACACTGATCCTGGTATCTAGGTAGGAAAAAATCTTGAGAAAATCTTAGCATTTGAACAATGAAAACTAGTTGAGAGCTTGCAAGTTTAAAGAACAAGAATTTGATCGGCATGATGTGCCAATCTTCTTCCACCTGTAACAATGTATCTTGTTCCTCCGCAATTATTTGGATTTGAGAAAAATAGAACCTTCAACACAAGTCAATACTACCTGCTTATATTACCTTCTGTAAGAGGCAAGAGATTTGGATTTTTAATAAGTTTTCCTACTTAAGAAACTAATAATAATATTCTGATCCTTAGAAATAGACTTCCGAGCTCACGTACAAGAAGAATTAAAAAATTCAACTTGCTCATTCTTTGCTTCATTGTCACAGGTGATTTATTAATAAAAAATCATTCAATGTCCACCCAATTCATTCACAGTTGTTAAAAGCATGGGAACTAAAGTCTGACAGACCTCAGTTCAAATCCCAGCTCCATCACTTTTCAGTGGAATGAATGGGGCAAAGAACTTAACCTGGGCCTCATTTTTCTGGTATGTAATGAATGACACAATACTATCACTACTTCACAAGGCTGTCATAAATGAGGAAGTCCATAGAAAGCACTAGTACAGAACAGCTACCACTGTTGTTGCCCATGTGGGTTAGCAATGCATATGATTTTAGCTGATTTGAGGGGTACATGTACTGAGGTAGGAAGAGAGACCAAGAGTTAAATTAATTTCAGAAGCAAATCACAGGAGTGGCTCTAAAAATAACACTTTTGAATAAATCAGTATCTCTAATTTACCCACAAGTGCCCAAACGTTTCCAAAATAAAAACTCTTGGTGTGTGTAAAATGATCTTACAACAGAATGTGCATAGCTGGAGACAGAGGAAACCAGAGCAATGTGGACGATCCCTCTTATTTAAAATTATGTATGACTCTCTTCCTGGCACAGAAACCATTATTTTGTCCTTTTAGCTTTTATTATTTCCTCTTCTTGGTTCTTCCAAGGCAGAGATAACCGATATCCATGTTCTTATGGGCTAAGATAGCAGGTAAGAGTGTAAAGGTAAACTGCTTTACAGCTAGCAGGTTAGAAAGAAAAGTAGTAGCTCTAAGAAAAAACAGTCGCAACACCCAGAAATATTCTACCTATTTTTTTGGAAATGTCAGTGATAGCGGCAAATCAAAGAGATGCACACAAATCTGGACAAGGAAGACTCAAAGTGCACCACGCAGATCAGATGTCAACTAACAGGCAGTAATACTGCTTTGGGTCAGTGACATCTCTCTCAAATCAGTGATCTAATCTGATATGTAGATAATTGGGGAAGGAGAAAAGGAAAGTAAAACAGGAAAAAATTGCCAAAAAATTTTAAGTATTGCACTAAATTAAAATTTCTATCAAAATTATTCATGATAGCATAGTGACATACTTTCACTTTAAATGTTTATTTGAAATTTATCCAGAAAATTTATCTAGGACAGATCAATTATTTTCTCCCCTGTCCTACATAGTTAGCCTGCTAAGAAAATACAAGTTTTTCCAGACTCAGGGAGACAACAGCAATGCTGATTCAATGTTATGTAGTTAGTGAACATCACAAACCAAAGGAATGAAATATTGGTGGGGAAAAGAAAAAAAAACTGCAGTTATAAGTGCAAACCATCCTTTCTCTTCCCTCCATATAAAGATAAAGAAAACAGATTTTTTTTTACAGTGGCCAGTAACTGCCTGTATGTTGAAGACTGAACTTGCTAGTTAGTAAGCAACTCTAAATGGGTTAGGACACATGACAGAAAATTATCAAAATTAACCCTGATGTTTCAAACCTGTGACAGAGCCATCTAAAGATATCACTTTACTTTATAGAATTCAAAGAAGATTATCCCAGTCAAGATTCTTTGAAGACAGTAGAATTCTGGGAAGTTATCAAGGTGTAAATAATTATAGAAATCAGGAGAAAAGATAAAGAATCTAAGATTAAGAAAAAATGATATATAAAAATAGATTTTAAAAAAGTTTCTTCTGTATAGCACAGGAAACTGTTCAATATCTTGTAATAACCTTTAGTGAAAAAAATATGAAAACGAATATATATGTATGTATATGCATGAATGGGAAATTATGCTGTATACCAGAAATTGACCCATTGTAACTGACTGTACTTCATTAAAAAGGAAAAGAAAAATGAATTCAAAGACTAAACCTCAAAAAGGAAAATAAATACTAAGAGAAAAAAATGTACATTCTGAAAAACACAGAAAGGTATCTAGAGCACTAAGAAAACTGAAATTTGAAAAGTGAAAATGGGAGTTTAGAAAGAAAATGAAACAATTAATAGCTATTATTAATTGAACTAGCAGAGAACAAGGATAAATTTAAGAGGCTTAAAATGAAGTTTTTTAACTTTCTGGAGGCTTATAAATTTTCATTACCTAGGGTGGTGAAGTGGTACTTGAGGGCAAGCAGCCTAACCTACTTCTCTAAAGAAGTTCCCTTCTTTACCCATAAATCTATTGCATTTAGACCAGGTAACGTTATATAACAGTCATGAATGTTAAGAACACCACTGACCCAGCAAAATCCTGAATCCCACATTCTTTATGCAAATCTAGCCAACTGGATAAACACACTTTAGATAATGTATCCTTTGATACAAAAACTAATACCAGAACTTTTTTAAAACTTCAGCTTCTATTATAGTAGTATCATTCTTAAAGGAAGAAAAAAGTTGCTTTTAAGTGGCAAAAATGTTTCCTTATTTAGAATCATGGACTTAAAGCTTTAAGACCCTATAGATTATTTATAGATAAAGGAACTAAGACCTAAGAAGGCTGTAAGCCTGTTGAAGATTATAAAGCTCATGGGTGGCAGAGAGAGAGACCTGACGGAGCCAGCAGTCTTGTCTGCTGTGGTGCCGTATGCCCACTGCATCATCTCTGTAGCAAGAGGCTCCTACCCCTAAGGATTCAATAGTACTGAGAAAATTTAACGTACAGAATCACTATCTTGATTCCTAAGGAGAAAATTTTAGAGATTCATACATGCAAGAACTTAATTTTGCCTTTTCCTTTCAGTGTCCAAGAACAAAAAGCAGCCTGTAGCGTAGCAGGCAGAAGGCCAAGTGAAAACGCCCACACGCCAGCAGCTCTGGCGTCACCCCACCTCTTTCTCCTTATGAACCCCCTTGATTTCACGTCAGATGACTAGAAGGAGCTGAATTCTCACTCTTTTTTTGGAGGCTGGTTTGCCTCCCATTTACCCTATCCTCAGGTAAATCTCTACATGAGGGTACAAAGTACTGCCTTGCCACAAAATGTTAGCGAGACCAATCTCTGGGGCATTATGGTTCAGAAATTATGATGAGAAAATGAAACAGACCCACAGGCCATCCATGGCCTATGCTTTGTAACAGCTTAGACTGCCAAGAATTTTAATCATAGAACACTTTTTTTTCCCCTACCTCAAAACTGTATTTATAATAAGTTCACCATTCAACCATTCCATAATTCCTTCATGAATGTTAATTTTCTCTCTCTGCTAGATAATAAACTCTCTGAAGTTAATGATCATATCTTTTAGTTTTTGTATTCCCATGGTATCTATTTATTCCAGAAAGAGAATAGATACTAAATATATACATATTAATTTAATTCCTCAGCAGCTGCCCTAAACCACTGAAACCAAAGTAATCATGTGGATGTGAGAAGAGAGGTTTTCTAATAAAGAAAAAAATAATACACAAAAACCAAAGCAAACCGCTAGTGCTGTCATTTCAGGAATCCTGCTGCGGCAAAAGCAGCAAGAAGTGGAGTCGGGCTTTCCTAAATTACCGTTTGCCCCAGCTTCACAAAATAGCCTTCAGTGTAAATCTGCAGCATGATGAACTCGGGTGTCAATGTTTTATACAGGAATTTGAAAGATAAGGACCAAAATTCTCAGTGCAATTACAAATACTTCCCATAAAAAGAATCAAATGGGAATTTCCTGTGATAAATAATTTTCAAAGAGTTCATTAAAAACTTAAGAAAAAGGTAAATAAACCAAACTTCTTATAGAAAAATTGTATTTACAACTCCATTCAAAAGCAGTTTTTAAAAGCAAACAATATAACACTGAAATTGAAAAATCTATGCTCACTCAAAGTTGCCAAGTCTAATAAATTATTAACAGAATACTGCATCAAAAATAAGGCAATAACCCAAGATATCCCATTAACAATTTCTCCACTCCCACAACTAGGTAGAATTAATCTATCTAGTAGCAAATGATACTTCATTCTATTTCAGCATGTCTGAAATCCTTAAGGACAGAAGTGATAAAATATGATCTTCATTCTTCATTAGACTCTTAGAACACTTGAAGGAAAATAATTTCTAAAGCACAAAGAGGTAAAGAGGTATAATCTCTCAAAAAGATGTCAGTGTTCAAAATTCAAGAATGCAATATTAATACACAATGGGCATTAGGTGAATATATGCAATATGTGATAGCAAATTAATTTATTTAGTACTTTTTCCATTCCATATCATCAGGAGGATTGATTTCAACTTTCCTTTTACCTACATCAGACCAGTTGGTACTCAAAACTGTACCACCAGACTCCATCTGCAATAAGAAAGAAAAATAGATTAATTCTTGGACCATAAAATTAAAACAATATTTTTCTTAAAATGTTCTAAGCATAGAGTCCCAAATATAAGCTCTGTTTGGCTCAATATACACAAGACAATATTCTGATTTAATCTTAGGCTTTCCAGATAAGTTACTATGTTTTGTAAAATCTGAAAAGGAAACTCTAGTTAGGTAGGGGCATCACGTCCCCATACACTGTCATATAAAGCACCATGTCTCCCTCTGCTAATCAGCATAAAGGTATACGTAGATGAAAATGAAACTGTCTCCCAAAGAAAATGGTAACGTAATCTCTTTTGCTGAGGATTGTAAAGACTAGGCAAAGAAACTTTCTAGTTGAACAGAACTTTTAAGAGCTCCTCTCCGTGTCAAATGCATGCAAGTGTATGGTGGAATTATTTTTAAATCAAGGTACACACACACAGATACACATAGTCAGTGTCTCAGTAAAGAACTGGTTATTTACTACCTACTGAATATAACACCTACCAACAGCCCTAGATGTTCATAAATACAGTAAAAAAATAAAGTTTGGGGTATTTATTATCTTAATGCAATAAATATTCACTGATTTGGATCACAGCAAAGATGATTAAAATCTAAGTATTTAAAAATAACCAGCTGTGTCATTGGCAAAATATACACCGGCACCTCAAAGTATCCCTGTTGCCCCACACTCTCTGCCAAGCGCCCTTTGCATGGGGTGCTCTTCTCCATCACCGTTCTTTTTATGTCTTTAGTTATCCTCCAAACATGACATGCCACCATCTCTCTGTGGCCTTCTTTGACCCTAGTCAGCACCCTATCTACTCTTGTAGGATTTGTCATCTGTGTGAGTGTTAATATAACATGTATCACAGTGCACTGTTAGAATTTTTAGGATCTGCCTCCTTATCCCTGCTTCCCACTCTTGGCTCCAAACTAAAGCTAGGAGCTCCTAAAACGCAAGGAGCGTATTTTACAAATACTTATATCCTAGATCTAAGTGCAGCAGCGTGGCACACAGTAGGCATCAAATAAAAAACTGAATACAATGAGACAAGTCTATATAATAAACTACTCCTAAGAGAACTGAAGGAAACAGATTTCATTTGTAATTTGATCATATTTGCTAATGACATTTATACTCTTGTCTCTTCTTACTGACTACAGTGCAACGGAGCATTTCCCTCTGATTATTTTGTACATGTTGGCTTTTGGTCTCAATAAGACTGAGAGATCACAGATGAGATAAGAGTCTTTTTTTTTGTACAGGCATACCTTGTTTTATTGTGCTTCATTTTATTTCACTTTGCAGATACTGCGTATTTTACAAATTGAAGGTTTGTGGCAACCCTGCATCGAATGACAATACTGATGTCATTTTTCTAACATCATTTGCTCACTTTGTGTCTCTGTGTTGCATTTTGATAATTCTCACACTATTTCAAACTTTTTCATTGTTATTATACTTGTTATAGGGATCTGTGATCAGTGATTTTTGATATTACTACTGCAAAAAGACTACAACTTGTTAAAAACTCAGGTGATTAAGTTAGTATATTTTAGCAATGAAGGATTTTTAAATTAAGGTACAATCATTTTTTCTTAAGACAAAGTCACTGCAACGTAACAGACTAAAGTACAGTGTAAACGTAACTTTTATACGCACAGGGAAACTAGAAAAGTATGACTCAAGCGATACTGCAGTGTTCGCTTTATGATGGCGCTCTAGCACCGAACCCGCAGCTCCCTGAAGTATGCCTGTATTTCCAGGAGGACAGCAGCCAGCCCTTGTTATGTTCTAGGTCGATGTTGCCAAACAGATGGCTTATTTTATGGGTGTACGTGGTTCAATTATAATTAGAAAAGTTTCTATATGAAAATGGATACAGACTCTATAATCTGTCTTTGAAATTTCATACACTATTTTGTTCAGCAAGCTCTTTAAGGTCAATACTGAAAGTGACTCCTCCTGCTGGAGGCATTAAGTAAATGCACTTCTTCCTATTATTCCCACTAAGTAAAACTAAAAATCTAAATGTTGTATAAATAACAAACATAAGGAGACTCTAAAAGGTGAAGAGAGGAAGACAAATCAGTGAGGGACCTTGGGACTCAAGGAACAACACTGGTGAATTTTTCAGGTTTTCTTTTTGCTTCATTTTTCCTTGAGTTGGAACTGAAGAAGCTGAAAATGCCAAAGGCAACAAAAAGAAAAAAACCAACAAAGGCCTGACTTCTCTATCCAAAGGACAAAGACAGACAGGAAGAGAGAAAACTTTCTGATAATAATCACTGTAGCTAAATACCACAGGAAAAACTGTGGCCCCATCCGCACCCAGGCCAGCGAAGGCTGAGTGAAGAGCCTAGACTTCCGCCCGTGCTAGGTTATCACAAGTCAGCCTCCTCTGTTGCCTGTGGCGTCAGTGGAAACCACACAGGGAACTGGAACTCCTCCCCGTTCCCAGCAGTTAATGAGAAGATATCCTGGCGTGTCTATGGAGGTGGAGTGGGGTACCTAGATTCCCACCTCCACCTGGCAATAATGAGGCAGTGACTGCTTCCTCTGCCGAAGTGATTGTCAGAGAAAGTGACCTAAGATGGAGAGTTTAAATAATATCTACAGTCTCACAGCATAACATGAAATTGTACAGGTTTCAACTCGATATCATTTGGCACTGATGAAAAACACAAAGATTATATTTTTAAAAAGAGAAGACAAACAACAGATGCTAATATAGAGAAGAGAGAGAAGCTAAAATTATATGACAAATTTTTAAAGCAGTCATGGTAAAAATGCTTTCATAAGAACCATGAACTATCTTGAAACAAATGAAAAATAGAAAACCTCAGCAAAGAAAGAGAAGACATAAACAAGAGTCAAAGAAAGTTTTATAACTGAAAAATACAACTGAAATAAAAAGGTGTCAGTGAATGGGCTCAAGAGCAAAAGACAGAACAGAGAAAAGAATCAGTGAATTGGGAAACAGAACAAGGCAAATCACCTACTCTGAATGATAGACAGAAAATAGAGATAAAATGAAGAGAGTCTCAGGGATGTGTCGTGCTATAACAAAATACCTAACATTTGTGTCATCAGGTTCCAGGAAGAAGAAAACAAAGAAGGCAGGTCTGAAAAAAGCACTCAATGACATAATGAATGAAAATATCCCAAATTTGGCAAGAGACATAAACCTACAGATTCAAGAAACTGAGCAAATCCCAATCACTATAAACCCAAAAAGACCCCTGCCAAGACAGAATCTGTCATAGATCCACCCTGAAAGAATGCCCAAAGAAAGTTCTCTAAACAGAAAACAACAAAAAATGAAACCCTGAAAGTCAGAAAGAAAGGAAGGTAACAATATGGGTAAATACAATAGAGTCTGCTTTTCCCCTTAAGTTTTCTAAATTATGTTTGATGGTTGAGTGAAAATTATCACACTATGTTGTGTGATTTCTAAATGTATGTAGAGGAAATGTTTAAGAAAATTATATTATAAATGAGAAAGGGTAATGAGACATAAAGGGAGATAAGGTTTCCATACAGCACTCAAACTGTGAAAAAAAAAAATGACACCAGTAAGACCATCATAAACTATGTGTAATATAGCTAGTATAAAGTCTACAGCAACCACTAAAAATGCTATGCAGAGAAGATATACTAAAAAATACTATAGATAAATCAAGATGAAATTCTAAAAAATGTTCAAGGACCCATAGGAAGGCAGGAAAAACAAAAAGAGAAACAAAACACAGAACAAATAGCAAACAAAAAATTAAGTGATGGATTTAAGTCCTAACATACCAAAAATTACATTAAATTTAAGTAGTCCAAATACATCAATTAAAAGACAGAGACATGCAGAGCAGATTAAAAAAACACGACCCAACAACGTGCTGTCTTAAAGAAAGCCACTTTAAATACGACTTAGGCAGGTTGAAAGTAAACGGATGGAACATAATACATCATGCAAAAATTAACCAAAAGACACAGAATCATCTATATTAATATCAAAGCAAAGAAAATTACCAGAGCTAGACAATGACATTATATAGTGATACAAAGGCCAATCCACCATGAAAACATAGCAATCCTAAATGCATATGCACCAAACAACAAAGCAGTAAAATATGTGAAGCAAAAATTGACAGAACTTAAAGAAGAAATTGATAAACCCACAAATATAGCTGGAGACCTTCTCTCAAAAATCAATAGAACAGTATGGCAGAAAATCAGCATGAATATAAAAATTCAACTGAAATCAAAAAGATATACTGAACTGAATAAAAATGAAAATATAACATCAAAGTTTATGGCAGATAGCTAAAATTCTTCTGAGAGGATTTATAGCATAAGTGCATTTAACAGTAAAGAGAAAAAGGGTCAACAATAATCTAAGCTCACAACTGAAGAACATATTAAAAAAAGAATAGCAAAATTAACCAAAGCAAGCATAAGGAAGAAAATAATTAAAAGCAGAAATAAAGGAAATTTAGAACAAAAAATAGAAAAAAAGATTTTTAAAGATCAACAAAAGCTAACTCTTTGGGAAATAAAAAACTCAATAAAATTGACAAACTTCTAGCAAGACAGACAAAAAAGGAGAGAAGATACAAATTACCATATAGGAATGAAATGGGTTATAACCACAGACCTTGCAGACATCAAAGGGGCAGTTAAGAGAATCCTACCAACACAAAAACTTACACAAAATGGACCAATTCCTCAAAAACAAACCACCACAAGTCATTTACTATGAAACACATAATCTGAATAGTCCTATAAGCTATTAGGATAAAGAAATTCATAATTTAAAATCTCCCAAAAGAGAAATATCCAGGTCCATATGGCTTCAGTGGTTTAAAGAATCTTTAAAGACAAATTAACACCAATTCTACACAATCCCTTTCCCCACAAAAAAAAGAAGATGGAGCACTTTCCCAATTCATTCTACGAAGTATTACCTTGAAACCAAAACCAAAGACAGTATCAAAAAAGAATACTACAGACCCCTCATTAATAGAGACACAAAAATGCTTTTTAAAGTATCTGAAAATAGAATTGAGCAATATATAAAAAGAATTATACACTACAACCAGGTGGAGTTTATCCCAGGGATGCAAGGCTGGTTCAATAGTAGAAATCAATCATATTAATCACATAAAATCACCACTTTAATGGGTTAAAGGAAAAAAAATCACCTAGTCATATTAATCAATGCAGAAAAAGCATTTGACAAGTTGAGTCATTCATCATAAAAATCTCAGAAAAACAAAAATTAGAGCAAAACTTTAACCCGATAAAGCATCTACAAAAAACTTACAGCTAACATTAAGACTAAATGGCTTTTCCCTTAAGAGGGGAACAAGGCATGGATGTTCACTCTCACTAATCTTACTCAACATAGAGCTGGAAGTTCTAGCCAAGGCAATATACCAAGAAAAGGAGATAAAAGGCATGCATAATGGAAAGGAAGAAATTAAATTGTCCCTATTTGAAGATATGATTGTCTACATAGAAAATCACAGGGAATCTACCAAAACATTTCCTGTAACTAGTAAGTGAGTTCAACAAGGTCACAGAATATAAAATAAACATTAAAAAAAAATTGTATTTCTAGATACTAGCAACAAGTACATGGATACCAAAATTAAATACATAATACCATTTACAATCACTCAAAAAAAAGCACTAAATACTTATGTATATCTAGTAAAATATGTGCTAGATTTATATGTTGAAAACTACACAACACTGATGAAAGAAATCAAAGATCTAAGTAAGTGGAGCTGGAAGATACAACACAGTAAAGAGGTTTAATCTCTCCAAACTGATAACACAGTTTAATGCAATTCCTAACAGGATGTTTTCCCACGTTAGACAAAATACTCCAAAATTTATATGGAAAGGCAAAGAAACCAGAATATCTAAAACAACTTTGAAAATGAAGAATAAGCAGTTCCTCAAAGCTATCTGGAAGGCTGTCTCCCAAGCGACAGTCCTCAGTAAGGTCTTCAAATAAAACTTAACTCAGACACAGACACACACACAGAAAATGAAGAATAAAGGAGGAACGAATCTGCCCAACCTCAAGACTTAAAGAGCTACAGTCATTGAGAGAGGAATCAACATGCAGAACAATGGAAAAGGAAACCTAGAAATACACTGACACAAATATGCTCAACTGAATTTTTAGAAAGATGAAAGGCAATTCAATGGAGGAAAGATAGCCTCTCAACTGAACATACTTTGGCCAAAAAAAAGAACCTCAACCTACATCTCACCTTTTATATAAAAACTGACTCAAAATGGATCATACGTATTTAAATGTAATAAGTAAAACTATACAACTTTTATTAAAAGGAAAAACACAGATGAAAATCTGTGAGATCTAGGACTAGGCAAAGAGTTCTGAGACTTGACACCAAAAGCATAATCCATAAAAGGAAAAATTAATAAACTGGATTCCACCAGAATTAAATGCTTTGGCTTTGCAAGATTGTTAAGAAAAGGAAAAGAAAAGCTACGGACTGGGAGAAAATATTTGCAGACTACAAATCTGATAGGCTTGCCAGATTAGTGGTTGCCAGGCACTAAGGAAGGGCAGGAATGAAGGGTGTGGGTATGGCTATAAAATAACAACAATGAGGGAGTGTTGTAGGAACAGAAATGTTTCGTATCTTAACTGTCAATATCATTGTTGCGATATTGTACTATAATTCTGCAAGATCTTTCCACTGGGGAAAACTATACAGGATATAAGGGATCTCTCTGTATTACTTCTTCCAACTGCATGTTGAGTCTCCAATTATCTCAAAATACGAAGTTTAATTAAAAAAAATTTTAAGGCAACAGTAATAAGCAGTCATGATCAGTTACCACATGGTAACTTATGCAAACTATCTAAGCCTCAAACACACTCATTACCTATTTATTTATTTTAATTATTAAATATTAACTTGGCTTCTCTACTGTAAATGTAAATGCTTTAAAAGAAGACAGTGATGTTTCCAGGGCTACTGACAAAAATGGTTACATCTTCAAGCAAAATCTACATAGTTCTACAGTGCTGACTTGTCTTAAAATCTCAAAACTTAAGAATTCAGGTGGTATTCATGCCCTGGCAAAAAGCCTGAATTTTCTTAACCAACAGAGAAATTACTAACAAACCAATGAATAATTAATGTGCACCTTCGACTTGCCACACACTGCTCTGGAAGGTTCCCTTCCATATTCTTCATCTCTGACACTGAGATTGCACACGACTCTAGAAAGTATGCATTGGAAGCTCACCCAGCTACTGTGACAAGTCCAACTGGAATAATTCCGTGTCACCCACTGTGACCTTGGTTAAGTCTCCTAAGTTCTAACTCACTGATACAAAAATTTATTTGGAATATATTACTTGTTTCTCACCACAAGTTTCCAACTTCCTCAATAATCACTCTAAGTTTAGAGCAAGAAGAAATGTTCAGACAAGCCTATTCAAAAGGGTTTTCCAACTACAGCATTTGGTCTCCAATTACATACTCATCACTCTTTCTTTTTCTAATTTCTGAAATTCACTATTACAGCAGATTTTCTTAAAGTTTATGTTCTTACAAATGATTTGTTCATGGCACGTTTCACTTCATCAGAACCATCTGAATAGATCTGCTGAAATAATTTGTTTAAAGCTGCATCTCCCTCCAACTTCTCATTCTTTTCTTCTTCTTTGATCTCACCAACCAGTTTATCCCAATTTCTTGTATAATGAGATGATGATGGATATAGATTCTTTACATCTATGGAGTAAAAAAAGACAGAAATGATTAATCAAGCATTGATTATGTCAAGAACATGGTAAACACTGTGACCATGAGTATACAACATCTTAGCAAATAGTTTTAAGTCAATGAATTTCATGTTTGTAATAAATGTCTTTCTGATTTATACATTGATAATTAAGAAAACTGAATCATTATGAAATTAGCATAATGTAAAATCTGGAAATTTGTAAATCTGTAAAATTTGAGCAAAATAACTCAAAGTGTAAACTTCTGGTACATTATGTAAAATTAGATTAAAAACCAGATCCTTCATGTTAATAGTGAAAGAAACTGAGTGAGAAGAATACAGGAACTTTTATGCTTACAGAAAAGTTGCAAAGATAGTACTAAAAATTCTAAAAATAGTAGCTTTTTAAAAAAAGATGCTTCATTCAGAAATTTCTCTAAACAATTTTTTTTCTGGTCAGGATGACAGAATAGTAGCACCACGAGCTCACCTCCTCTCATGAACACATCAAAACCACAACTGACTGCTGAACAACCATCGACAAAAAAGATTGGAATCTGCCAAAAAAGATCTTCCAAACAAATTTTTAATAAATGCTAAATATCTGGCTTCTTCTGAGGTGCTTGTATTTTTCAGAGTAGAAATAAACTAAAAATAATGGCATGCCATTTGACAGTAAGTTAAGACTTCATCCTCTCCCCAAGATGAAAATACTAGATTACTTCAATAGGAGGTAACAATAAAGAATTCTTGAATGTTGAAAAATACTACTTGAGATGATCTAGAGTTCAATGTCCACGTCACGCCAATGTCCACATCACGCACACACAGAAAATAGTAACATTTGTAGGGCACATTAGGATAAATACAGGCTGCTTGCAGCCAGGAAGGCAACCAGCCCAGGGACTCAGGGCACTGCCAAAGCTGCCCCAAAGACCAAAGGAATCAAGATCTTGGCACACAAATAATTAAAAATTACTCAGGTTACCTGAGAACTAAGAGCAGTTTTGCTCACTATTTAATGGAAATATAATGTAAGCCACAAACGTGAGTTACATATATAATTTAAAATTTTCTAGTAGCCATATTACTAAAAGAATCAGGTGAAATGCATCCTAATATTTTATTTAGCCTAATATATCCAAAATAGTATTTCAACATGAAATCAAAATAATATTAAGATATTGTATATTCTTTTTTTATCCTAAATCTTCAAAATCTGGTGTGTATTTTACGTTTCGAGCACATCTCAATCCAGACTAGTTATATTCCACGTGGTCAGCAGGTATACGTGGCTAGCAGCTACTATACTGGACAGTAACAGCTATAGAGCTTTTTAAAAAAAAGATTCAAAATGTCCTTACAAATATATTAGGACACATTAATGCTAGTCTCAATGCTCCTCTTTCACCACTGCCTCTCCATATATCCCTTTTCTCAAAATAGTTGAGAAAGTACTGATTGCTCATTCTGTTCTTCCATCCTTTCTTCTCACCTGTAAACCAACTCTCTCCCTGCCCATCCCCCCTCCCCAACAAAACAAAACCACAACACACCACAGTTTTATTCAGGACAAGAATATTGTTTTCCAGATTTTATCTACCCTTCCTCTACCAGTAATCTCCTCTATCTTCTATACACTTTCACTAGTAGTCAAGAAAACAAAAAAACGCATGCTATGGTAAATTAAGAACCTAGAAAACGTAGGTTTAATTAATCCTAGTGCTGATCCCCAGATGAGAGCACGGTTTTAATCTCCATTTTACAGATAAGAGAGCTGGCCCACACAGGTTAAGCAACCTGCCCTTATCTGCAGTCTCCAGCTTGCAGTACACAAAAATCTGACAGGCACATTAACTCCTTACAAAAAACGTTACAGGTCAGAAGGAACAGCATCTTGAATACCCAAGGTACTGAGTTTAGGAAAAAAACTGTAACTATAACACTAAAAAATCTTTATATTTAATCTCAGAAAAACATTAACACCTGCAGACAGCAGATGAACTACTGAGGAATGAGTAACCTAACTTTCTTGCTCATTCACTGCAATACTGAGAAACTGCAAAGATACTCATGTTGGCAGAAACTTTCCACTGTTAGAAAATGCAGCAACAAGCAGTATCACACAGAAGGACCAGACCCGGACTCTGAAGACCTAGGTTTAGTCCTAGACAATGAAAACCGCTAGGTAAGCTTAAGTATGTTGCTTAACCTTTCTGTGCCTGTAATACAGGAAGAATAATACTACTATATAGGGCTGTACTCAGAATTAGGTGAGATATTACATTTAAAGTATTTGTTTCAAAAAACATTTTGAGCTATACAGTTTATATATATACATATATATACATACATACATATATATACACACACACGTATATATACATACATATATACATAAAATCTCTGGGAGTCAGCCGCAAGAGGAGCACATAACATCTTTACCCTATCTTTCACAAGTGGGAAGCATAAACTGAATAAGCTTATATACCAGCTTGAAATATTTCCATTCTTAAATATTATCTGCAGGTGTCAATTCCCTGGTCTTGCTAATTACACTGTATGTTAGTTACCATATTATCATGCAGGAAAGCTGGGTGAAGGGCACATGGGAAGTCTATTATTTCTGCAACCTCTGTGAGAATCTAAAATTATTTAAAAATAAAATTTAAAAATGAATGATCTGTTGGCTAACTTAGTGTTTTCAAAAAGGTGCCACAGGAAAATGTAGTTTTCTGTTATAGAAGAAAGTAGTGAAAAATCTGAAAGTAGCTGAAATGCAAATTTACCTCGTTTCAGTCATCAAATCAGAGCATTATCTCTAATCAAAAGGAATCTTCTCTCCATTCATTAATGAGACCACTGTTGTAAAATACAGTCTTATTATAGTTCTAAGATCATTCTACAGACTAATCATTCCGTTAGAAAAACACCTATCTGCCTATTGCCTATGCTTAGAACTGACCCCAACATAAAGCAGTCGGTCCCTTAAAGGGTTAAGCAGCCATCCTAGCTTTCTACTCTACTTCTAGGCTTGCCTTAGGCTTTCAATGAGCTGTCTGCCTCCACCTCTTAGTAATACAGTGAAATGGGCCAGATACTTTTCTCTGTGAAACCCCGAAATTCCAGGAAGTTAGAGGTGACAATACTAGAAGAAACAAAAAGGAATAAATAAAAGGGAAGAAGGGAAGAGGAGGAAAGTATCAGCAGATGTAAACTACTAATTCACTTAAAATACAAAAAGCAGCAATAGGAAAGGCCAACACACAAAAACAAACAATCCCAACTAATGTCATAAACTGACACAGTAAACAATACACCCCAATCCCCTCTGGGCTTGTGCTGCCATTCATTTGTATGCTTACAAGTTAGAACCTTCATAAGAAAGGCTACTTGGTATTCATTACAGAGAAACAGCATTACACCCAATGTATCTTATCTTGGGAACATAAATAATGAAAGTAGAAAGAATGCTCATGACTATTTAATTTCAACTATATAACACAGTATGAATGTAAAGCTCATCAAGGCCAGAAAACAAACCTGCTGTGAACTGTTTTGGGTGAGGCACATCTCCTTGCCCCTCTAGCTTTTCCCATCTCACAGCCTCTGGCTTTTTCATTTTAATTTCAATCTGGAAGAAACACCAAATAAAATCCATATTCAATGTAAAATACACAAAACAGTGGAAAAATGCAATTTCCTTAAGTCATCAACATTTTATAAGAATTAGTAGTGTCCTTGAGACAGTTTCCTCAAATTATCCAAAGTTTAATTTGAAGAACTTTGAAACATTCTGTTTCTACTTAAAAGCCACCCTTCAAAACAACATACAGGGAACTATATTTAATATCTTACAGTAAACTATTATGAAAAAGAATATGAAATGGAATATATGTATATACATGTATGACTGAAACATTATGCAGTGCACCAGAAATTAACATAGCATTGTAAACTGACTCTATACTTCAATAAAAAAATATATATATACATACACACTATAAACTACAATCATGAGTAGTCTTGAAATCCATATGCTTTTTTCCGCCTAAAGCAGTGTTCTCAACCAGGGGTGATTCTGTCCTCCCTGGGGACATTTGGTAATGACTTGAGATACTGCTGGGTCATCACAACTGAGAGGTGAGGAGAGGCTTAGGGGTGCTGTTAGATATCCTACAACATGCAAGGTAACTTCCCCATGACAAAGAATTATCCAGCCCAAAATATTAACAGTACCCACTACTGAGAAACCCTGTTCTGAAGGAAATACTGTATTTGCATGTACACTGACCTGTTTTAGAGTAGAGAAATTCATTCCATTGTATAAAAATAATAAAGTGAAACTGAAGGCAGTCAACAGTTAGATCCCTTAAACTATAACTTGCTTAATAAATAGTATCCTGTCACCTGCTTTCACTGACTAAGCTTGCTTTAATTGTTCTTGCAAACTGCATACCTCCAAGTTTCACATAGCTTGGACAATATATCGCAAGACTCCTCTAACTACTCCCTAGACATGAAACGTCTCTGACGTGTGGGTAGTCATAGTGATGGTAACTGCTTTTCAGGAATATGGAGCTAGTTTTGCCAAGCTCAAACTGGTTAAGACCACTGACAACTCAACTGGGTCTCCTCGAGGGTCTCATGGATGACTTTTTGACATAAGAGGCCCCAAAACTCCACCCTTAGATCATGCTAATGTCGCCATTTTCTGAACATGCGAACCATGAAAAAGCTTGTAACTCAGATATGCCTGCGCAGAGCCCCAATTACTTCACTTTTCCTGCCTCCTACCATCATTCCCCACACCTCAGACCACCTTGCTTCCTCATCCCATAAATAACCCAAGCCCCTGGCCTCTGCAGAGGCAGATCTGAGATCTGTTGTCCTGCCTCCTCATTTGGCTGCCTCATGAATAAACCCTTTCTCTTTTGCAAACCTTGGTGCCTCATTGTTTGGCTTGCTGTGTGCTGGGTAAACGAACCTGGTTTGATAACAAAAGTAATGTTAACATTTTTACAATCATTCGTTCTATAATTATTAAACACCTACTGTGCACAAGGTGTAGTCTTCAGGAATGCGAGGGATTTTTAAAATATTAAGTGTCCTTGACCATTCAGTAGTATGTGAGATACCTGGAGAAAGTTATTCAACAGGCAAAAAGCTCAGGAGAGATCTCACCTGGCTGTGAGCAGGAAAGGTTTCAGGCACCCTGAAGGGCAATAACTGGAAACCTTTCTACTACCTGCATTTAGGGAAAGAATCCTTAAAAATCTGCATTTAAAAATACTTAAGTGAAACACTAACAGAATCTGCCAATATTTTCAGTCAGATATGAAGTGACAGCATGGAAGGGTTGTGGTCTGAGTACTTCCTTCAGGTGCATAAAAATGTAACAAAAAAAGTCTTTATGAAAGCAAAACATGAAACAAATCTCACTGGAAAAGCGGCAAAAGATTAGTATTTTTAATATAATTTACATGCTTAAATTCTACATAAATAAAAACAGGATCTCCAGAATTCCCTAAAATGAACTATGATAAATTTTTATAAAGTAGAATACTACCAATATTTTCTCATACACAGTATTAACTGAGAGTACTCTGGTAATTTTAAGTTGTCACTGCCAGGATATTTATCAAAAAGAGACAGAAATGTAATAGCTGGCAATGACACAGCAACAGTTACTGAAAAGGACTATTAACTTTATGCTGAATTTAAAACTCCATCTTGCTCCTTTAACTTTCACCTCATCTAGAATGCAGACCTCACAAACAGTGTGTACATCAACACCATCCTTAACTAACCTCAGCCACAGGGCACCCTACTTCATACCTCACATCCCTGTGCTAAGCACCGCCTAAAAAAGTGCCTTGTTTCACCTGAAGAGCAGCACGCACTAGCTCTCACATCTACTGAAAACCACTATAACCTATGAACAAATAGATCTTTATAAAGCCAAAATCAAAGCTCTAAGTTAACAACCTGTTTCAACTGAGACACGCTGAAAATGATTGAAAAATGATTGAAAACTTGAAAATGATTCTGACAGATTCTTCTCGAATTATACCAGTCCAACTTCAGATATTTTTATTATGACCATTAATCAGCTATTCTATTTTCATTTTATTCAAAAATAACTTAAAATTTCACTTTGAATGCTTCTCTCATATGCACAGGGAAGGCTTTCAATGTGCCGTAATATTCCAAAGCAGTATTCACAGACTACTACTAAGAATCCCGGCTGTGCTGGATTGTCAGTTCTCAACATTATGTGTGCTACCATCCACTTCCAAGGTCTCCTGCGCACAGCAGGGAGTTTAACTTCTTCCAACGGAAGGAACTTCGGATTTAAAGAGAAGCCATTACTCCTACAGGGTCATGGCCCCCATATATCACCTTCTTAAAAGAGGTAAGCAAGTGCCCACTTACTATGACAGATCCATGGGGAAGGAATCTTTCCCAGAGACTAGAGAGCTATGCAGTTTACCAGTAAACATTTTTTCCTGGAAAACGTGAGACCCAACTGTTTCAAGGCTACAGTCATTAAATAAGTGTCCCCTCAGCTTTGGAATGTAGCTTTCCCAACATTCTCCCACTCAGCTCTCTGCACATCTAACTGCTGCATTGAAACCCTTTGTCCAATATTAGAATAGCTCATTCAGTCTTCTTGAGGCCAGATTGAACATCTATTATCTTTATTTTTTACAGTCAAATCGTTTCATAGTTTTTTAAATGCAGAAGATGGTCATAAATGAAGAGGAACTGTATAATCTTCTCCAAAGTTCTAATAGCTCAGTACAAGCATTTACTGAGTGCCTACTCTGAGCCAGGCACTGTGCCTGTGCATAAGGTCACCACCTCTATTCTTCTTGAAGAAATCAATCAGAAGAGACAGTCCCATAAACAAAAAAATTCCAGTATACATCATCTGTAGTGACAGACCTAAGTTTTGGGAAATCTAATTATCTGGAAGGAAGTATGCCAAAATGTCATTGGTAATGAGACTGAGTGATTACTTTCTCAGCTCCCTTATATGTTTCCAAATTTTCTATGATATACATTTATTACTTTCATAACCTGAATAAAAATCTAAATAATCAGGATTAAGAAATAACAGAGAGAAGCAAGATGGAGGAGTAGAAGGACGCCTGTAGTTCACCCTCTCCCACAAATACATCAAAACTCACATCTATGGACCTACTCAGCCAACCAGAGCACCTGCCGAACTCCGACAGAACATTGCCCTCTTCGAAAGACAAAGACGCCAAAAATCTGGTAGGAGTAAAGGAAAAATGAAAGAAGAAAAAGCAAAACAGTGAGGGACCAGTCCCGCGGGGAGGGAGCAGCAAAGGAGGACCGGCGCTCATTCGCTGGGTCTCCCCTCTCCAACGGAGAGGCCAGCAGAACGGAGAGGGAGCCTCCGAGGCTCAGATCTGCCCTGAGCACCCCTTGACCAACAGAACTGAATTAAAAGGGCACAAAGGGTCTCCGCGACACCCAGCCCAACATGCGAGCCAGCAGCTGGGGCCACCTGAGCCAGGCGGAGGACTGGGATGGCTGCACTGAGGCAGCCCCGGGGGA